GATGGTATTGGTACTAGTACCTTTGGCTACCAGGAATAAGGGATTTATTATTAGCTTAATTAATTTCTAAAATACACTTTTATTCTCTCCAAGGTGCTCTGAGCCAGTACTTTGGGAAAATGAGAACTGTGCTCTGATTTGATGATAACTGAAATGAAAAGCCAAAATGCATGTTAAGGGCTTTAAATGTGTAATCTAATTTACATCTTTGATTTCAGAATAACATGTCCAACCAGGACTGGAAACTTCAAGCAATTTTGGAAGGACGGGGTTTTTATGGACCTACTCTAATAAATGTGGGTCTAGGTGAAACAGCTCTGTATCCTCTCATGTTCAAGCCTACTGCTGAGTGCGTAACAATGGTAAGAGGCAAATTGGTTTCAACATTTGAAAAGGATGCTTCTGTTAATAAAATTTACATCACTGTCAAAATTATGAAAGTGCTTAAGCAGTTACTAACATAAAGCATCTCCTTGAGAGTCAGAAATTGAAAGATTGCCTTCTAGCTGAAGTAAAAAAGATTCTGAACTTTGATCATAAAAATGTACATTGTGTTAGTCTGAATTTAAATACATATATTAAATTGTATTTCATTATCTAAGCAATAAAGAGTACCATTGAGTATTTCTCATTGGATGTGTACATCACAAATGAATTTATGTGATGAGTACTTTGTTTCATAATTTTTTTTTTTTTCACAAGTTAAGCCACTACTTAGAAGTTGCTTTTTCCTTCTAAGCAACTCATCAGAGTAATCACTATTCTGGATGCTAAAATGAAGAGCAGAAAAAAGGTTGTGCCACCTCTAGCAAGAAGCAGTATATGAATTTTTGCCTGTATACTAGCTGAGAGATTTTGACTGCAGGTTGCTATTCAAAGATGTGAACTGCCAAAGACAGTAATCCTTCTGTATGTATTACCAACAAAATATAATGTAGCTTAGGAATCCAGTAATATAAAACTATTAAAAGCCAAAAGCCCTGAATCCTTTGATGACAAATAACTACAAAGAAAATCTTAGCTGAAGGACAGATGGAAGTGATTGAGCAAGATTATATTTTATATCAGGAATAAGGATGCATAAGAACATATTTTCTTAGATGTTTGTTTTCTAGGAAGAAGCCAAGAAGTACAAAATCTAGAAGTATGAAGGCTTTATATTGTTAAATTTCATAATTAAAAAAAAATAAAATAAAAGCTTTTGTTTCTTAGTTTTCTTCTCTGGTTAACAGCGGAGTTAAGAACAAGAAAAGTCAATATGAACTCTTTCTTGTAAGCATGCTTTGTTGCCTGGATTTAAGATTAATAGACTAAAGAAGTTGGTTTGGCAGCCAAAGAGGACTTCTACAGTGTTGAAACATTTTTTTTCTTCTTTCTTTGTCATAGGGAAGACTTATTCTGCGAAATGATACAGTTGGCACTGAAAACATCTTTAAGCTTAAGGGAATAGGGAAGAAACCTCTGGCACAGGATCATATTGTGATAAATTGCCAAGTGAGAAAGGTCACTCAAAAAATTTTATGGGTGCCCAATTATACCAAGAACAAGTTAACGTACAAGGTAAATTTTTGCAATAATGACAAGTATTTTTTCTATCCAAGGGCCTATGAATTATATATTACAATAGAAAATATTGTAATTGCAGATATACTGTTAAAATTCATGTATCCATGAGAAATTGTATTTAATTATAGTTTATAGTATAGGTGTTTGTTTATAGTCATTAAGTTTGTGACATAGTGTATGTCTGTGTTCCATGGAAAAAGATGTCTGAGTTTTTTCGTCTGGTTCCTAAGGGGAGAACACTTCTACAATTGTACTCTGTTCATTTGCTAGTTGTTCCTCCCTTCCTCCTCTACCGGTTTGAAACCGGTGGCCCATTTCATCAGTTCTGAAATCAGAAAAGAGACTTAAGAATTACAGGGTTCCTAAAAGCTTCATAAAACTTTGGAATGTTACAGAAAAAGGACAAATATTCTTATCTTACTAAGGGAAAGACTGCAGCATGAGCTCACTATATATCTGTTCCTAATGGTCTGGACACTCAGTGCTTGGATTTCTTGGAACAAATTATAGCCGTTAGTGTCTTTTGCACAGCTGTTGCTTCAGGGATGTTGGAGGAACTTGTGAATACTTTGTGTGTTTGCTGACAGGAAAGAAAATTCAGAGGAAATAAGAAACTGGAGTTGTTGAAGGGCAACGAGTCACTGGGGAGATGGAGTAGGAGGTGCTCAGGCAGTTGTGATTTCAGTGGAGGGATCTAAAACATAAATTCTTAGAAAATACACTTTTGTTATTTTCCTTACTCAAGAAGACCTTTTTACCATTAAATATAAACCTTATTATTTTTCGCTGGCTTAGTTAAGTATATTTTATAACTATATTTACACAAACACATTTTCCTATTTAAAAACACTGTTGTATTACTGTAACTGCATAATTTTCCTACCATTTATCTTGTCTGCATGTTTAATTTGGAAGTATTTCAGTAGTATTCCTCACCTTCCTTATCCATATGTAGTACCCCATGTCGTATGTCAGCAGAGGCAGAATGTACATTATAGCAAAAAAGATGACTTCTGCTTTTCTTCTCAGCCGAAAAGTTCCTGAGCAAGAACATCTTGGATATTGCTCAATGAAAGTCATCTTTGTGACTCTATTATGGCACTTAAAAGGAAAGTAGATAGCATCTAGATACTATGGCTGTATACTATTTGCTAGGAGGGTTCAACCTATGAAAACAAGGCAGGAAAGCACAATCTAAAACTTGTCAGCATATGTAAATATATATTTTTGAACTGAGGGGTTTGAGTGTTGGGGATTTTTTTGTAGTTTTTCTTTTGGGGGAAAGGAGGGAAAAGGGGAGAATGTAGATTCTAGAAGATAAAATCTGACTAGTTAACTAATGTGGACTTGTGAAATGAGTAATCTTTTGTTCTCAGCCTTAGTACCAGTAGCACCAAATGCTGCTTTAATCAAAATGACAGGTACTGGTAGAGTGGCCTCATCTTATTTTATAAAGAGAGATCACATATATTCCAGCAGCACTCTTCTATTGGTTTCATGGGAATTCACGGCAATGTGAAATCCTTCCTTAAACTCTTGCTAGTCTCCAATTTTTCACTGTTAAAGGAGACTTTACATTTAATAAACTTTGTGTAAAGGTCCAGCTTAATGTTCATTTTTTTATTACTCATTATTAAACCCCCCAAACATGTAAGAAATGTAATTTTTGAGCATCACCAGCTTTGACATTTTTCTTTTCAACATTCTTAACTTTTAGATGTGAATGCATTTACATTTCTAATACATTTGTACTTTTATCTCTGAAAGAAGTTAATGTTTTTAAAAGTTGACAACAGAACTATTTCCTCTGCTTTACAGTTTTGTATGAACTCAATTTTTTTTTGTGCCAATGAAAGTGGGACTGAAATATATGTCAAAATGTATAAATTAAAATTACTAATTGTATATCCTTTCCAGAAACATTGTGTTAAACAGATTTATGACAGTTGTAACTATTCCAGAGTGAGCTGGATTTTACTGAACTTTGACCTTTTTGAGGGCGTGCTCTGGATATGGAAATCTGGTTTTCCAGTGGGTTTTTAATTCCACTCTGGAGAGAAGTTGTAAGGCCAGCTATTTCATGCTTTTATGCGTGTAATAAATTAATCAGTGTGAATAATGTGTTTTCTCTATGCTAGGGTTTTACTCAGAAGCTGTTGCAGAACAGTTGTTGAAACAAGGTGGGCTGGAATTGTTGGAAAAAGCATGATTACAAAACCTACCAGTGTCTGGAAACTGTGTCCAAACAAAATTAATCACTTCCATCTCTCTCCAGCAGATGTCACATAGTGTCTTGTGCTATTATAGTGAGTGAATATCATTTGCTTACTTTTAATTCCAAAAGAGTTAGTCTGTAAATTGGGATTTAATCAGTAAATCCAGAACATGATCATCCTTATCTGTAGTTCTTAGGAGAAAGGGGAAACCCTTCTCTAAGAGAGAACTGTGACCAACACCCTTTTTAGAAATGCAAAATAAATTTTATTTACTCAGAAGTGTATAGCAGAAAGGGCAACAGGAAAAAGAAGTGATACTAATTTTGGTTTTGCTTTTCATTCCGTGCTGCCTGATTACTGTAATTTCTAGATAGTCTGTTGTTAAGCAGAATACAACAGACTGTGATTTTGTCTTTGTTAGTGTTTCCCTTGGAGGTTGTTGCTGATAGCCCAATACCTCCTCCTCCTTTTTAATCCAGCATCTTTTAAATATTACCATATTATCCTTTAGCTAAATTGATTATTAAGGAGAGGAAATCCTGTCAATTTTGGTGGACACAGATCAAAGATAATCCAAAAAGTAATAGCTTTAGAAATGTCTTTAATAGGAGGTTTTGTAATTTTGTTGGCTAGCAAATATCTTCATTATTGAATTGGTAGGTTGATTTGCCCTGTACACCCTCCTTTGATGGAGTGTATCCACTATACAAGGTAACTTCTCATTGGTAAATGGATCATACACGGTATTTTTAAAATCCATAAATATTTCATTTACTGAGGCAATAAACTCAGCCTGTATAAAAAGTGGTATAAGATGTGCCAGTAGCTGATGAGCATAATAATTTGCAGGCATGTCCATAAACAATTTACTGCACAATGTGTACTTAGCAGTAATTTAGCTGAATTAATATTTGGGTAATTTTGCCTTTGAGGTGTAAATTTAGCTTCACTGTTCCATTTTAATAACTGAATATATTAAACTATAAACTTAATAAAAATGCATTTAATTAAAAAATTAATTACATTGTGTATATGCTACCCTGTTTCTTAGTATTCACTGTATATATCTAGTAGCCTCAACCAAAGTAAGGGTACTACTCTAAAAGTGACTACTTGAAATGAAAGTTAAGTCTGGGAGGAGGAAAAGGGAAATAATTCTTTCCTCTGTTAAGAAAGCCCTCTTCCCTCTGAGCTTATCCCATTAAAAAAATATACAGAGTGTTCATGTCTGGAGCAGCAATAATTTTTGTATGTGTGGTTTGCTTGTCTATGCAACCACTAGTATGTATCAAGAGAGTCGGGGAGGGAAGAAGTGCCTTTGGAATTCAGTGGAGGTCATGAGCATCGCTCCATCAGTCTACCTTTAAGAATGCTAAGCAAAACACTTTCAGTGCCCACAAAGCTTTCCATGATTAAAAAGACAATTTCCATAAATTCCCTTGAAAAATGTGAATGTTTTTAAGAACTATTTCCTACTGATTGATGTGTAAACCTTAAGGAAATACTGCCACTGTGCTCTTCATGGCTGGTTCTAGAGGATATTACTTCTCATGATTAACTTACTCCTGGGTGTGAAAAAACATTAGAACAGATTTCACAAAGAATTTGTGCACATAAAACGTCAGCCAGAGGACACATCCTTTGCTGATGCTGAATTAATATAAGTTTAGCGACTGCAATGTAAGTGGATTTTAGTGGCTGTAAAATTAGATTCAAATCATCCTACAAGAGTAGGAAGTTTAAAGTCAATCTGTCAGTCTCATGAAAAAAAATCTCATGCAATTTTCTTTTGATTTTTATATAAAACTCTGCTGGCTTTAAATAATTGTCTGGTGTGTTGATGGTTTCTTCTAACAACACCTTTGATAGTAACTTTAGCTATAAAGGTGCTTAATTCTTCCAAGGCTTGGTTTTGCAGTAAAAATATAAATCTGTGTAACTGTTTTTCTCAGTGCTGTTCAAAATAGATATCACTAAAGTAGACTCTCCAGAGAAATCTCAAGGCTCAGTTAAATTACCTTTCTGATATTAAGTTATACAAACTGTTAGTAATTTCTGCAATTATTGTAGTATAAATACATAATCAAAAACTATGAAATCCCCTGTTCTTCAATGCATTTCAATGCACAAGAGTTTAGATAGTAATGTAGATTTGTAGATTCAGAATCAAGTTATATTAATGCTTAAATTAATATGGAAACAGGCATTCAAATTTGAGGATGCTCAGCTGAAACTCCAGATCATAAGGGAGGCCTTCAGTAACCAGTTCTGTTTCATACCCATGTTTTGTAATCTCCTTTTTAGTACTAATTGGTTTACAGCATAGTATTCATGAAACTATGTGTATAAAAAGGAAAAAAAAAGTTAAATGTAGTGCTACTGATGTTTTATTTCTGAATTAATTGGATAGTTTGTCATTTTGGATGTGCAAGTTTTTGAATTTTAATTTCCCATTTTGTGTTTTGTGAAAACAGAGATAGAAGGAATTCCAACCCTTTGGCTTGGCTTGCATAACTTAAAACAGTCTTTTTACAACCTTCCTAACACCTTAAAGAACTAGGGAAAGCTGTGTCCTTGCTGGAGAGGATGGGAGGAGGGTAGTGTCTACTGTGGGTTACCTTGCAGTCCCAGTTCTCTGATAACATAGGCTTGGGGAATTTTGAATCACACCACGTCTGTCTGTCTACCCTTGAAGGGAAAACCGCATGAAATGGCAATCTGCACTCAGATTTCACCTTGGTATGAAGCTGTGAAGCGGTACATAGGATGTGCATGTGGATGAGGACAGTAGGATACACCTTATGAGAACTTCAGGAAGAGTTTGGGAAATGTGACAGGACAAAAGCTATCTAAAATTTTAAAATTCTGGAATTGGGCTGTGTAGCACATTAGAAGCATGTATATTTATGGACTAGTGTGATTATAACTGAATTAGTAGAAACTTAGTTAAACCAAAGCATTAGCAGGAAGACTAAATTTTAGACACAAGGGGGGCAAAGAACATAATCAGATGAAAAAGTAGTATATTTTTTTAAAGTCAAATTGATGTTGAGATATGGTGAGAACAGTGGAAAACCCAATGAAAGAAGAATTTGAGGTGCATAAAAAGCAAAATCAGTTGAAAAATTTTAGCAAACATTTCAAGTAGCATTAAATGATTTCCATAGTTCGAGAGGTGAAAAGACTCAATAGATCAAGTGGAATGAGAGAGAGATCATACACAGAGATAAGAGGTTAACTACAGCTATCTCAAGGTAACAAGTCTACCTCTGTCTTTACAGAAGAATTCTATTCTCTTTAAATTAGTGATGAACTCATTTACTACAGAGGGAGCAGTGGAGATACACAACAAATTACAGGGAAAAACTGTATAAATTGTGTAGATTTAGAAAGCTAATGTCTGTAAACTAGCTTCTGATGTGTGGTACCTAACTTCTAGAAGTTTTCATGAAAATGGGAGAATTTAAAACATCCAAGTTAAATGCTTGGTGGAGCATAATTTTTGAATTTTTTAAGTATGTATTTCAGTTATTTTAAAGTAGTCAGAAGATAAACCAGAAATCTACAGATCTTTCATTTCAGCATTTGTGTAAAGATGAATCTTTGATTTCATTAAGGATTAGAGCAGTGATGGAATTGAAAAGGACCTTAAAAATAAACTGAGCTTTTAAATTAATATAAACATTATCATTTTTATACCTGTCATATATGCACACAATACTTAAAAATTGCACACAAGCTCATGCATATGATTCTGGATTGTTAAAAGCAAGGTTATTTTTAGCCCTGGGAAGTCTTCTGAACAAAATAAAGAGATTCGTAAGATTTATGTCATTAAATTCATACTACAAAAGAACAAACCCTTCAGTGCCTTTGGAAGCTTTAATAAATAGGGATAAAAGAGGTGACTGAGCTGCTAGTTGCTTTCTTTAGACTCTTCTTGTCTAATCCACAGTTTTAGACAGCCGTCTGGGTTCTCTAACTGGAGAAAGTAGGCACCCAGCAACAGAACTCTAAAAGAGCTGGCAAAAGGAATGGAGAATTGTGTAACCAGGCCAGTAGTAAAACAGTAAGACATATTTTCTCTATGGACGTTTAATCTCTTCAATCTGATCAGATTAGGGAAAATAGGTTTGTTCCAAGTTCTACAGGTCTGGCCAGTGCCCTAAACTCCTAGTTATTTGGTAAAAAAATGTTGATATAAGTGCCTTTCTGGTCTTATTGATGGGATCAACATAAATCAGACTTGAGTTATCCATGGAAAATAGCCTGATTTGGGAACACTGATGGAGTACAGTTATAAAGTACGCATGACAAGGCTATCCACTGAAAAGTAAAAAACATTTTATGCTCTATCCAGGAGTGAAAATACTAGCTTCCTTTACAGGAGTAGATTACAGCTCAGTGGAGAAAATAAGTCTATAATTTTTGGAAGTAGGTACCCTATTTTTTGTGGTTTTTTTTGTTTGTTTGGTTTTTTTTGGGTTTTTTAAAATCTAGACAAATTAAAGAACTGTTAGTTTCTAGTGGTTCTGACCAGTGCAAAGTTTATACATTGTGATGACAAGAAGGTATGATTGCTTGTCCATTGCCTGTCTCTTATCCCATCCCTGTTAAACAAAAAAGTGACAAAAGAAAGAAGAATTCTTCTCAAGAGATAGTGTAGCATACTACGTATATATATTTGTACGTGTGTGTGTGTATATACTTCATACAAGGAGAAAATGGACTTGATTAACACTTAGTAGAAGGGACCACAAGTATCAGCAGGTCTCCACCCCGCAGAATTACAGGCAGTTGTGTAGTAAATATCTAGTTTAGATAGAGTCACAGTACATTTAATCTACATGACTTCTACACCCTGAAAGATAAAATATTTCTCAGCTCTACAACAAAATATCGGACTTGCTAAAGTAGATGACAACTGTAATGTGTTTCTGGAAAAGTGTGAGATCACCAGTCTCTTTGAACAGTGAAACAGTAATGCATTTGTAATGTGAACATCCCAGATGATCCTAGGAAATGAACCATGCCCAACACTAAGAAAAGAACAAAGCAAAAACCCCAGCAGTTTTCTCAATCTGATGCATGAGAGGGAAGGGAGAATTCCTTCTGGTCTCCTGATATGGACACCTGGATTGAAACACTGAAACAGTGGCCATGTGTATACAATCATGTCTTCATTGCTTGTACTCAACTCTTTGCTGTTCGGTTAACAGTCACTTCCTTAAGGTTAACAACATAATTTTAAAATAATTTAGTTTCTGTTAATTCACTACTCTATTTGGAAAGGTATCCAAAACTTCTCCTGAATGATGTAAAATCATCAAATTTCCAGACCATATTTATTTATCAGCAATCCATATCAGTTTCATGTTTATAGTCAGCTATACCAGTAGTGTTCCTCTTACTTTGATGGTTTTTGTTAGAAACCAGACTAATATATCCAGTCTTTGACAGAAACTGTATTAGCCTACTTTCCTGCATTTTATCCAATTTAAATTAATCACATTTATCCTACTTTTATATCTGTCTCCTTGTTACATTTTCTTTTAAATAATCTCATTTTAATTAATCTTATTTGTAGCTCTGATAATTTACTGTCATTTCTGTTATCTATCCTTATTTTTTAGATAATTAGCCTTTACTTTTGTATACATTACTAACTTAATTGCAAACTGAAATGAAGTAGTCCATAAATGTAGAATTACACCTAATTTATTGTTTATCTTGTATGAAGTTACACTTTCCTATCCTCAGTGTATAACTGTACCTCCTTTCCTATGCTTTCTCTTTGTTGTTAATAGTTTTTTGGTTTGTTTTTTTTTTCCAAGCAACAGTTCATAGAATCATAGAATCACAGAATGGTCTGGGTTGGAAGGGACCTTAAAGTTCATCTAGTTCCAATCCCCTGCCATGGGCAGGGACACCTTCCACTAGACCAGGTTGCTCAAAGCCTCATCCAGCCTGGCCTTAAACACTTCCAGGGAGGGAGCATCCACAACTTTCTTGCGCAACCTGTTCCAGTGTCTGACCACCCTCACAGTGAAGAATTTCTTCCTAATATCTAATCTAAACCTACCCTCTTCCAGTTTAAACCCATTTCCCCTTGTTTTATCATTAACTGCCCTTATGAAAAGTTCCATCATTCTCTTTTTAGCCTGTTTTTTCTTGACTATTAGTCTCTTTTCCTGTTCTTTTTTATATATTTGTACCTAATGTTGGACTTCTAATGTTGGACTTCTAAAGCTTGAAATGCAGATTTATTGGGGAAAAGGGATATTGTTGTCTTACAGTTTTTTTTCTCCAAGTAACAACTTGGAATAGAAGTTCCAGATTGTACTAGCACTTGAACAAAGGATTATATTAACCTAAGTACCCTAGAGAGGACAAACTTTATAGGCAATGATGATAGAAGAAAAGATGATCTTAGAATTGTTTTTTTTCTACAGAAAAAATGAACAAAACTTATTTACTAAAAAAATAGTAAATATTTCTCTTTAGGGAGGAAGAAAATGATCCATGCATCTAATACTTTTACTGTTGCAAAAGAAATATTTGTAGAATCCAAGTCTCTGCTTGGATGCTTGACAGGCCAACTATATTCATCCATGAAATGAATAAATGAGCTGGAAAAAAAAATAATCAAGTCTTTCTGACTTGTGATTTCACTCAAAATTCACCTAAACAACACAAACAATTTTATTATTTAATATAATAAAAAATTACAGCATGCTACAGTGCTACATGATATCTTGAAAATATTTTTTAAGAGGACTCAGTGCCTCAGTGGACAATCACGACCTGTAGTCAGATGGCAGTTTGCTCTGCCCAGTGGCAGAGGTAACAGAAGAGAGACTGTGAGCAGAACCATTCACACAGTCCATCTGCTGGCTTTCCGCACAACCAGTGTCTTGAGCAGATAATAATCAGCTGTGATTGGTAATAGCTCAGACTTGAATGCCTCTTCCATGAGCAGCTGATCATAGAGTCTGTCTGTAGCAAACTTAATACAAGCAACAGATAAATGAGATGCAATTAAAAAATGCTCTCAGACTATATTCCTGTAATCAGCTTTATAGTTTACAAAATCTAAAATTCAGCATGTGAAAATTATATTGGTCTTTTCATTGTTCAAACCGTTACTATGTTTGCCATCACATAGGTACCATTTATAAAATATGACATATCAAAAAGCATGGTTTAATATCGCTTAAGGTATATCAATTGATATATATCAGTTAAACATCAGTTCAGATTTTGCTTTGCTCTGTCTAGTTAGGTGAATCACTACTGTTAAACCTCTTTGTTACGCTTCTAAAGAAATGTATGTAAAATATTAAGGGCCTGACTGTGCAACTCAATGCACATGCAAGTAGTTCTGTGGTCTGAGCGAGACACTTTGACTTGTGTTGAGCAATGACTTAAAAATTTGTGCTTGATATGATCTGTATATGGCAGCACTACACTTACAGTATGCATTCTTTTCATGTGCATAAAGGTTAGGACTTACCAATAGTGTACTTTCTATTCTACTTTTCAAAGCAAGTAGAAAGGATACTGTGTCTATACTGTTCTTGCAACAGTAACTTGCTTTTGATGATTTTTCCCTTTTGTGAATTCTCTTCAACAGGTATCTTCAGATCTTTCAATGGTGGGTGGAGCACCTGTTATTACCGTAGAACCAGATGACAAAGTCCCTTACACTTTGAGTGTATGTCCTTGGAGACGAGGAATCTTTCAAGGTACAGTGTAGAACCCAAATTTATAAGATATCTATCATTTAGCAGATTAAATGTTTACCATTAATGCTTACATTTCTGTTCAATGTAGCCTTTCCTCTGGAAGTAAGGCTGTAATTATTGGTGATAGTGGTTTTTAAGCTGGCTTATATTTTTATTTTTAAAAATAGATTACTGCTAAATATGTGGTAAAGTTCTTCAAAAATGCCAGCATATGTGGAACTTTATGCATTTAATTGGTCCCATGAAAACTGACTCAATAGGAATTAATGATTTTGAATTATCACCAAGATCTTGGGTCTAAATTTAATTTTCCAAAAGCTGTTGATTAGCTGTAGTTATCTTAGCAGTACTAGAACCAAAGATTTAAAGGCAGAGACCAGAATTTAATTCTTTCCCTTGATTAATGTTCAATTTGTTGAGCACAAGGCAAGAGTACATGCCTAGAATGTGGTGAACCCAATTCCTTCTTTGCGGTATGTGGAGGCTAGAGACATCTAAAATTAATTGCAAATAATTTGTGCCAGTACATGTTTGTACTGATGTTCTTATGATACAATAGCAACACCCTTGCTTGTTTTAACTAACAGCAGCATGTCATATTTAATGTTTTGCCCTGCAAATATTTTTTTTAAAATTAATGTTTTTTTAACAATTTAGGTTACATGATTTTCAAGTACTTAGTAATAATTCTACAATTCCATGGTGTTCATTCTTTGACTCATAATATGAAAAGCATGATTGTGAGAATGAGGCTGTACAATCAATAGTCTTCCTTATAGAGTACCTACTGTAGTAACACTACAAAGAGCGAAGTATGAGTCTTTGGGAGGGAATTATGGGAACAGAAGAGACCATCTTAAAGTCACTGAATAGCACTCAGGGAGCCTATATTTGAACAACTTCTTAAACAGAACTCTTTCTGATAATGGATAAATCTCTTAATCCAAAAAGTTTAACTGTATAGTTTTGTTTTGTGAATTCTTAACCACAAATACCTGATTCTTCTAGCTTCTTAGACAATTAAGATTAATGACAGCTGTTTTCTTAACAATAAAAAGCTATTAAGCCTTGTCCCTGAGGATGCCAATGTAGTTTGCGCTTTTGGCCATTTTTATTTTAGTATCTGATGTGTAAAAAGTAAGTAATATGCCATCTCAATTTACAGGTGATTTGTGAAGAGAAATTATTACTTGTAACAAAGCTTGGCCTAGTGCCACAGGAAGACTTCAGTGCCTTCTTGCTAAATCTATAGTCCTGAGACAAAATTAACTTTCTATGAATAAGAGTAATCTTTTAATGAAATTTGTGACCATCAAAAATGTTCACCAGGAAATATTGAGGATGCACTATATTATAGCTTATGCCTTTTTTTCAGGCTTTAAAGATTTATGAATATTCTCTTCTTCTGGTTTAGAAAATCTCAAATTCTTTTATATATACTGAAAGTTTCAGTAGAAAAGGTTCCAATGGATCTATCACGCAGCAAATTAATACCACGTGGTAAAAGCCATGCTTTCAAAGGGACAGAGATAGCATATTCAGATCAAAATCTCCTATGTTCTGTCATTCCCCTAAATTCTATTACAATGGTTTCCATTATGCTTGAAAGTATTATATGTTCACTGAATGAGAAAAAGAGAGAACAGACAGTCTCTCTAACCCAACAGAAAAGTTATTGGTTCAAAAAAGCCACGTTTTTTTTTTTTTTTTTTTTTTTTTTTTTACCAGAAAGGAGTTAATTTGGCAGTTGTATTCCATCCACCCCCTGGTTCAGTGCTTGCTTTAATCACCACCTTAGGAAATCCTGTTCATTCTTCCTCTGGAGCAGGGACAATTTTGGTTGTCTCACAGAAATTTGTGCACTCTCTCTAATAATTCAGCTGCTATAGGAAGGAGAGGAGTGGAGGGAAGAAAGACCACTGTCACTGAAAGGCAGCAGCTGATTTTCCTGTCTGGTGTCAGATGTGACATAAACCTAACTACCAGATGTCCTATCTAAGGTAACATCAGTTAGGAAGTGGCTTCACAGAAAATGGAAGTCTGTCTGCTTCATACTGTGCAAGGCTGGAAAGTCTTGTTTGTTTCCCAAAGCAGAATTTTCAGCTCCTGGGAAACTTAAATGTCAAAGCTGAGATATATATGCAGTTTTTGTCACTTTTAGGATTTTTCAGCAGGCAGTCTGAAGCTTGAGGATCACACATCAGATGTAGGTGTTTCAAGTGGGAATTAATTAGGAGTCAAGAGTCTTAGTCCTTTCTAGGTTCAAGATACTACAGGTAAAGTATAATTTAAACACCCAAAAAGAAAGTTACTTTTTATTCAGTTTGGTGAATTTGTTTACAGGAAGGTAAATAATCTGTGAGGCCAACATATTGAATGATCAAAAATAAAAGGCAGTGCTGAAAAGCTATCCACAGAATGAGTAAATTTTATCCTGCAGGGGAAAAAAAGCCCCACAGGAAATTTAGATATCTAGTTGAAGATTGTCATAGTGCTGATGGATGATTTCAAGTTTAGAACTCACTTGTAAGTATAAAACTTTCTAGCTTTGATGTTCTAGTACCATTTTTGTTGTATTAAAATAAATTCTTATAAAAGGGCTTTTACCATATAAATTGTTGTACTGAGCAAATGGTCTGCATTTTTCCTTTACATTCAAAGTCCTTTGCATTGCAAAATTATATAGCTGCAAAATTATACTTCTTCTGCGTTCCTTCTTGCTATTTTGTGATTGCTAAGCTAAAAATAGGCCCAGTTCTTTTCAGAAGTCCATTTGGTAGTGGGCTAATATTGTATGCTTCAGCTGTTTTGTAGCTGTATGACAGCTTTAACATAGAAATAATAGCTAATAAACATCTCATACAAGATTCTGGCACCAGATAAAATTCTACAGCAATCAGTTTTCTAAGTAAGAGAGCAATTTCCTTCAGGTTTGATAAAGCATCTTTTACATATTACTTTACCTTTTATCAAACTCTTATTTCTGATTTCCCTAGAATAGACCAGATTTTTTGCAGAACAAACGAAGGCTCATAATATTTGAATATTTCTTCTGCAAAAAATACGCACCTGTTATAATCAGTGTCCTTTCATCCACAAAAAATTTCTAGTTTTTGGAAAGAAGCTTTCTAATTTTATAAATAATCTTTCATTTATTTTTAAGTGGATCTGTACTTAGTAGGGCAGCAGTTTTCCATGCTACTTAGAGCTGTGGAAGCTGACATTGTGGAAAAAAAGCAATATGTTACAGGCCATGGCCTGTCAGATGGAGCTGTAGGACAGTTTTAATAAGATGGTGAAGATTATGCCAATACATTCTGGCCTGTAAATGAGTTAATTAAACTTGCTTGTTTAACAGTATTTCCCTTCAACACTGTGTGACATCTGATTAAAAAAAAAAAAAAAAATATATATATATCTATTTCTTTGTTTGGAGGAATTCTGTAAATTGATCTGCTGATTGCTCTAATTTCAATGGAATAATAAAATCACATGCAGGAGAAAGACTGTCTCTGTAGCTTCTCATAGCCATTGTCCTATTTCCGGCACCTGTCGGTACCTTTACTTTAAGAACTTCCTTTTCATCTGAGACCCCTAACAAAATGAGACTAATTCGTCAGTAATAAAGACAAAGTTAGAAGGATCCTCCGGTTACTTGATTACTGTGAATGGCTCTGGCATGTCTCCACTGCTGGGTCACTGGAGTTCACTGAGGGAGGATTTCTCTGTACATGCCACCACCTGTCAAGATGATCCCCAGCATACCCTTTCCATCTATCCTAGTGCAGTTGGAATTGCATACTCCTGTGCCTTTTTATATCATGGTTTCATTGTCACATTAAGAACAGAAAGTGAGAATTATAAATAAAACAATTCACCTCTCTATTGAATTCCAGAAAACCACATATGAATTATAGCTGACTGCAGGATTTGCCATTTGCTCCTTTCTGCTATGTGTGAGTCTTCAAGCTTATTATGCTTCCTTTTCATTGATGCAGGGAGCAATTCATTTAGTCCCAATATGCTAATAAGTAGTAGGATATACAGAAACTTGTTAGGATTTACATATACCATCATAGAGATTTTCCTATGCAAAATAGCAATTATAAATTTTTGTTGTAACCTACCGTAAATCTTTTTTTGTCAGTAGAAAAAATGACAGAAGAAAATTTGTCCAAAGCTATAGCTTACTTAAATTACACTCATCTTTTAAATTTATCTTATCTCTTCTGTGTAACTTTTCTGAGGCAGCAACTATACATTGATTTCATTGGCCAGAAAAAATCAGTAAAAAATAAAAACTCCTCCTACACCCAAGACCTATGCTTATTAAGATCATGTTGGTATATTTAAACCACAAGCCAAACATTTCTCTATCTTCTCAGATTTGTGTCATGAATTCTGTGATGACATAGCCTTCTCTTCTGGTTTCCAGTTAAAATATTGGGTGATTGTGGGCTTTTATCGTCTCTCTGCACCGAAAAATAATTGTGCAACACGTATCTTTCAGGTAGTCCTTTCAAATTATAAAGAAAGGAAAAAGTTGTATATTTCTTGCTTTCTTAATTGGATTCAGGGATGTGGTATTGTAGTGTACAGCCAATGAGTTAGTCTAATGTGGTGTTGCAATTACAATTATATTGGGAAATAAAACAGCCTATACCCTTTTAAAGGGACACATCTTATCTAAAGCAATATAAAGCAAGGCTTCAGTATTCATATGTGGACTGAAGCTGTATGAAATGTTTAAACACTGGATAGTAAAGCTAGAAAATTTGCAACAAGGTTTTGACCAAGAAACCTTTTAAAGGAATGTTGTATCAGCAAAAAGGAAACCTCCAAAGTTTATGTCATTTTGAAATATTTATTTTCAGTATAATTTTAGGAATACTTGCATTGTTGCTTTGGCAAGTTTAGTATTTTTTATTGTGAAATGTAGGTATGCCAAAGGACAACTGAGAAGAGGAGTGGTATTTTCTAAAATACTGAGTGGTGACATAATGCTGTGACCAACAGAATCAATGGGAATTTTATCTGTGTGATGTACATGAAGAGTTGTTTGGTTTTGAATGTAGGTTTTGGAAATGGTCAGCCATGATATTTTGGCAATTTTCCTTGTTATATAATGTGTGTCAGAGAAGCCAGAACTGAACAAATAGAAGGAAAAAAACCCCAAACACTGGGGACTGTTATTAACGAACAAATTATCATTTACCGGTTACTTTACAGTATCAATCAGGTAATATAAGATTGCTGCCTTTGCTGAAGACAAGTGTAAGCAACAGTGGGCTCTGTAGGATGACGGTGTGTTCACAGCCGAAACCCTAAATCTTCCTGTACTAAAGCCCTTAGATAGTATGGGAGCCAAGCTCAGCAGAATGTTGTAAAAAAATGTAAACATGCTTATTTGTTATTTTAAATCTATCATTTTGTATGCAATTTTTCTGCACCTTTCAAATGTATTTTTTATTACTTCAGAGAGTGCTAAGGACTTTTTATTACTCTTCATTATAAAAAGTATTTTTCCGATCCTGAAAATCGATTCTTGATTGGAATTTCTTTGTAGCCTGTAATTTGAATAAATTCATATATTCATGTATCATCAGCTATCTTAATCTCCAATAGTGGTCAGTGGATTCCACAATTCACTCCAGAACCAGGAGAGCGTTGTGCTTAGGACAATGTTATACTTCCCAGGAAAACATTCTGCTTTAATTTAAAGAATCAAGTCATGCAGAGCATACTAGGTACTACGTGTCCTCACTGATAAGGATTCTGCATTCTACATTTGACTTAAAATTAAAACACTTTTCTTTTGATATTTGCAGTTCTTGCCAGTGATTTTTTTCTTTTTTTCCCCTAATAAAAAATTCAAATAGCTTTGAGCCCATAGTAGCACTTTGGTGCCTGTGAAAATTATGAAAGACAACTTATGAATATTTTAAGATTAAGCAGATAAACTAAGTTTAAAAATGTATGCCATCTGCAGTAAAACTGATTATTTTTTTATTGAAATACTTTGACAGATTTAATTGAGTGCCTTGCAGATACCTGAATACATTACATCAGTCTAGTCACCTTTATTGATCAAGATTTTAACCACATTGTTATTAATTCTGTTTGTTTGAGATCTGTTTTCCATGAAGTAAGAAAACTGAGTGTCAGCAATTATAGTGCAATTCTTCACTGATTTTTTGATTGTGTGATTGCCAGATTATCACCATAGTGGTTTAACAATTCAAGTAGTTTTTAGTTACCACAGTTCTCCCACAACCTCTTGAGCATTAGCAATTTACAGTTCTGAAACTTTTCAAGCATTCCAAGATTTGCTGCTGCAAATAAAAATTAATCATACTGAGTTCTTCAGCCAATTATTTTGATGCTTTTGGAGGCATGTGTAGTGCAAACCCAAAAAAGTTAGTTTGTTTTACCATCCCCCTACTTACTGATGACATAAACTTTTTTAAACTGTAAACTTTCGTGTTCTGTCCCTCTTCCTCTCATACACACATATACACAACATAATATTCTGAAATGCAGACAACTGGTAAAAAAACCCTCCATTGTCACTGAAAGCAAGGACTCCACTTAATTTTAAAAATTATGTGAAACAAAATATTCTCTACTGTAAGGACGCTTTAGAATTTATAGTTTCACAGAATCACAGAATCACTTTTCAGCATTTATTAAGTATTTTTAATTAACTTTAAAGCTACAGTTTTGCTTTTTTTGCTCATTTGCTTATAATTGTTGATGTCTCTCAAGTACATTGGTGGTTAGGATGGTATTTAAAATCAGTGAAGTCTTTCTCTTTCACTTTACTTCTCTCTAATATTGTGCTGCAATAAACCAAAATTGTGCTACAATTATGTATTGAGACATAAAATCAGATTAATCAGCTAGTGTTTATCCTAAGGTCCATTACCTGTTACTGCCATCAAATGTGTCCTCTTACATCAATATTTATATACCTTCAGCATTTTCTTCAGACTTTATTCCCCCGAGCTTTCCATAATTGTTTTATTTTTTTATTGTACTTACATACCTACTTTCTCTTTGAAAAAATTTTTTTAAAGTATTCAGTAATGTCCTGAAATTGCAATCACTCTCCTGTTTTTTAGGACACAGTTTCTGGCTTCTGTACTGTGATTCACTTTAGGAATTTGTGAAAAATTTCTATTTAAAATGTTTTTGGTTGATTTTAATTTTTTTATTTTATTATTTTATTTGCATTTTAATAGATTTTTCTTAACTGGGGGAAGGAAATCTGGGATTCTAATATTTTTTAATTTAAAACTATATAGTTCCTTTCTCTGGATTTAAGTACACAGCTATTTCCATTTTTTTGGTTTTGTTTTGAACTTTGGTGTTTTATACCTGTGCTACCCAGTTGCCATCTCTCAGAGAAAGACAGTGGCAATGTGAAGATGATAAACCCTGCTTCCCTGTAACAATTCAATATAATCCTTCTTAGCAGAAATAATTTGTCAGTGCTTATCATGTTCAAATGGACATGATGGCTATCACATATCCCAGGATACAGTTGGCCTTCTGGGCTGTGAGTGCACATTGCTGGCTTATGTCCAGCTTTTCATCCACCAGTACCCCCAAGGCCTTCTCCACAGGGCTGCTCTCAATGCGTTCATCCCCCAGCCTGTATTTCCCTGAGGGATTGCCCTGACCCAGGTGCAGGACCTTACACCTGGACTTGTTGAACCTCATGAGGTTCACACAGGCCCACTTCTCCAGCTTGTCCAGGTCCCTCTGGATGGCATCCCATCCATCAGGTGTGTCTCAACTGCACCACTCATCTTGGTGTTGTCTGAAAACTTCTTGAGGATGTACTCAATCCCACTGTCATTGATGAAGATATTCAACAGTACTGGTCCCAGTGCAGACTCCTAAGGGACACCGCTTGTCACCGATCTCCACCTGGACATTGAGCCATTGACCACTACCCTCTGGATGTCACAATCCAACCAATTACTTGTCCACCAAGCAGTCCATACATCAAATCCATGTAGCTACTTTTAAGCATATCATGAATAAATTTTGGTTTTCTAAGACTTCTTGGTGGCATTTGACTTTAGTTATGTTTTATTTGCCTCCTTTCTTTCTTTTTTCTTTTAAAAGTAACTTCCTTCTAACATAATATTATTATCAAAACATGAGACCATTGATCCCTCCTGAAATGAAATTTAACTAGAAGTTTTAATGCAGCTTTTTGCAGAAATGTGTGATTAAAGGGAGGAAAGTTAATTCTCGAGGACGGTAAATTAGATGGATGTGTACAGGTATGTGGAGATGAATACTGATCAGCTCCTGGCCACTAAAGTCACTGCAGCTTCCTTAGCCAGTTGTTGTGACTGATGTGGTGTCGTCTCTTCCCCTCACTGCTGCCCCCTTTTTCAGGTTCTACGTGTGCCTTGCTGTTTAGCTTTACCTGTTCCTGCTAGTGAGAAGCTAAATTTAGCTAGTGAGGGAGCACAGCACATCCTCTCTGCCATGTGATCTGTTACCACACATCTATCCCACTCAAACCTGGAGAAACAAAAAATTTCATTAAATGTAGCTATTTTCAAATCAAATTGTTCTGGGACACTCATGAAATTCTATTAATTCTCCATTTCAAATTAAAAAGCTCTGCTATGAATAATTTTCCTAAACCCTTAATAAGACACAGTTACATAATTTCCCTTTGAGAGACTATTTCACATAAATTCTAATGATCTCGAATGGGAAAATTTCTTACTGTATAGTATGATAAAATAAGTCAGCTCCTCAAATTAGTTTTTTATTGTACATATGAAGCAAGAATTAAACCTGCAACATATATTTATTTCAGCTTTGAAGCTCTCTGGAACGTACTGAAATATTGAGGGACATTAATTTAGACAAAATATTAATGGTATGTAGTATTTTAAAAAAAAATGTGTAGATTTAAAATCCTTAGTCAGAGGCACATAATGCAAGGAACAAAAACTGCTTATTTAAAGTAAGTGTAACAGATCTTCTGGAATAACATCAGTGTTATTTAAAGGAACCATGTATGTACTGTATTTTCTAAATTAGAATTAATATTATTAAACAGAAATTTGTCACTTTAAAAATCCTGGTTTTCCGATTTTTATGTATTTTATCTTTCCTAAATACTTGATTACAGGTTAACATATAATACAAAAATGTATCACAGGAACATTTTAACTATTACCTCTATTATCTTATAGCACTAGTTAGACACTGTGATTTAAAAATCTAACAGGAACAATGAAGACTATGCATAGAAAGTTGTGCTGGAAAGAAAGATACTATTATTGTCTGTCATATTTTATAATCTTTAAAAAGTGTGTTTGCTTGTATTGCTTATTACTGATCTTTAGTTCAGGTAAGTAGGAAAACACTTTTGGGAGAAAAATTGGTTAATTTCCTTGGACTCACTCAAGACATATTTTTTATTTAAAATTGGATGGCTGAGACCTGGAGTGAAAGTTTTACTTCATTTTTTATTAGTTTTGAACTGAGGAAATACTTGGACATGTCTGGCAGTCTGTTTTAGAAAGCTAATGCCCCAGCTGATATAACACCTGGTATCTATTTGTTTTAGGTGTAATTTCATTTGTTGCTGAAGATGAAGACCAACAGCAGTCTCAACATAACAGCTCACCAGAGAAGACAGATGGTGAACAGGCCCTTCAGAAATTGTCAACAGAGACACCACAAACTGTTAGTGCAGCAAACATGGGTATGTTTGTTATTATTGATAAGTTCATTATCAGTTTGCATAACCTTATATAATAATTACTCTTTAAATTAAATATATATTTAGTATGCTAGGCCATATGCTTACAAACAGTATGAAGTCAAATGTTTATTCCAGGCATATATGAAACTTCTCCTTTTATGATTTTGAAACATTTTTATGAAATTTTAAGCTGAGCTTGTTTTTTCTTTTTCTCTTATTTGCGAGAATGTCACTGAATGTCACTTGTTGGAGACAGGCAGCATTTGTTAAATGTTTTATTTTAAAAGTAGCCAATATTATTAATAGTGCTGATGTCAAAGCAGGCCATTTCTGAAATTCATATCACTCCACTTAATTCTACTGTGCAAAAAAACTTCCTTTTAACTGTCAGTAATAGAAGCTCCTTTGGTCAGTTACAGTAAAATCAAGAGCAGAAAATTCCAGAATATCTGGTTACGTTCCGATTGTCACCTCTTAATTTATTCTAAACAGTTTCTGCATTATTTTTGAGATTTGTGATTACAAATGTGCACACTAAATAGACAAAGGTGCGGGTTTTTTTTTTGTTTTTAAACTAATTTCTACATTCTTCTTTACATTTGCAAGTAAAGCTTTGCCTATAGAACTATACTTTATATGTTTTAATACCTAATTTGGAATGTATTTAAATTATCAAGCATTATGTTAGATGGCTAAAGCATATTTCTTGCAAGGACACCTATCAAGGAAAGTTCTTTTTAACGTGAAAGAGACGTATTTAAAACTAAAAAAAGATAGAAAAAAGTTTTCTGTTATTATGTAGCTCCAACGCAAAATCAGATTTTCTAAAATGTTATTTTTGTGCAAACAGTTGATAATACAATGTGAGTTTAAAATAAAAAAGATGTAGATGTGGAAGACAGTAACACAGCATGACATGGCAAAATGCTATTTTCAAAAGGAGAACAAAATAATCAAAAAGAAAATCAGGTGACCAAAGAACTAAGGTTTTCCCATAGTGCTTATGATACGTGTGAGACTGTTGCAACACTGGTAAAATTATAACAAAAAAGCAAAAGGCAAGTCAGTGCTTGACAAATTGAGGAACAGAGACTTGAGAAGTCGTCTAGAAATATTAAATAGAGGATTTTCAAAGCCAAAAGAAAAAAAAAGGAAACTGAATCCAAAGAGAAATAAAGAGTTTTCTGAGGACAGCACAGATTCAGTTTTCCTGTCTGGTATGTTTAAGGGGAACACTGCTGTTTTTTAAAAAAAACAGTAGTGTTTTTTTTAAATTCTGGCATGGAGAGCTAGAAATAGGAGAAAGTCCTTAAGAAGGCAGTTAGAAGGAAGAAAATAACCACTATTTAACTTTCACTGCTCTTCAAGATTCAAGAATATTCCCTTGCATTTTCCTCCTACAGCTAGCTTTTTATTTGAATTTTCACATACAGCGACACGGAAGTTGGTTGACATTAAAACTCACACAATGCGTCATCATAAGTTTAAAGAAGAACGATTTTAGCAAAGATTAAATTAAGATGACATGTGCAGACAATGCAGTAGAGATGAGAATTAGCAGATTTCAAGGTGTCAGGAGGAATTAATCATAAAAGAAATATCAAGAGTGTTGCCAAGTACAGGGAAATATTGGAGACAAACTTCAAATCTCTGCTCAAAACCTGCAAATGTTTGTGAATTTAATTATGCTTCTATTGTCCAAACTAAACACTTCTGCTTATGAGATATTTAGGCTTTCCAAAGTTTAGGAATCATCAGTCTGAAAGTAGTAGAGGCTGTAATTGAAAGTAACTGAAAATAGAAGGTTAAGTAAGAAAATAGAAGGTTAAGGGATTTCTCAATACTGTCTCAATCACTGATATGAATTGAGGGCATTATTCTTAGGTAGAAAACCCAATGCAATTTCATTGTTGTTCAATGCTGTTATTATAACTGATAAACCTTTGCTCAGTTTGGTTCCCCAGTAACAGTGTGAGACTGACTGATTCACTTAAGCATTTGGAATGTGTTTTTCAAATATCTTGATAAGTGATTAGTCTAATAACTTGCTGAGAGGGGCCAGGTAATCAGCTCCAACTCAGCTCCCTTTTTCACCTCACACTAGTACACATGCATATGATCACCACAACACATGGGGTCCCATTGGTAATTGGAGCAGTGTGCACAGCTTATTCATGTGTGGCTGTTTCAAGTTACCGCATCTTATCTTTAAGTTACCGTCTTTCATTTTTTTTTTGTGCCACTGTAGAATTATATCTTTGTCTTATTGTAATCTACATGTTCCTAAGAAATTGTACTAACTCAAATTTCATGACTGCTTGCAATGTTTGGAGCATCTTTAGGATTGTTTTCTAAGTGGACCTAAAGTAAGTAGCACATGAAATTCCTTGTCTCTAATACAGTATTGCTTAATAATAGGATTTTTTTTCTTCAATACCTTACAATGCCCATATCCTACAAGCTTTCACTTCACCTTCAAATTAATCAATTGCTTCTAGTTATTTCTAGTCATTATCTTCCATCATAACCATTAATTTGTACTAGACATATATAACTTTTAGAACTGGGGAAAGTATCTACTGAAAATGGCTAAATAGAGATGGAAGGTAACAAGGTGTGATCTAACTTATATAATAGTAGTAGTCTTTTTCTGAACTTCAAAGAGGAACTAATAGTCTTAGCTTTATCCTACAGGGTTTTTTTACACCTGTATTTTTAGTGTAGTTTTTCCCAAAAATAAATTATTCTATATCTTTTCAGAGTAGAATGACTAATGGATATTTCTGAGATTTAGGATTTCTTCATGGCAGAAAGCACATCACTAGTAGAATGCAAACCACTTACATTTGACCAGAGGCATCAGACACTGAAGAAGTGCATCTCAGAACTGACAATCCCCAGGGCAACTGTTACTGATCTGAGGAAACAGAAAATAGTAGGCTTCTAATGTAGAGAAAAATAATGTACAGACTTGAATTGGTAGAGGCTAAAACAAGTGTAAGGTTGTCCATAGCTGAGTAAGGCTAGAAAAAAGTCTCTAATGATAAATTCCAAACATTTTTGTCTTGCTGTCACTCAGTGAAAATTTTTCCTTTTAAACATGATAGAAACTACTACCTTGTTATACACACCTTAACGTTCAATATAATCTTCAAGGCGCACACACACATATGCATTATGGAAGTATGTAAATATTCATCTGCCATTTTTTTCTTTTATTTTTTCTTCTCCACATTACATTGTAGGTATGACTGTAGATGGTGATGATGATAATTTCTAGAATAGTTTTCATATATTTTTTTCATAATTTCTACCAACATCACTCGTTATACTCTTTCAAAAAGCTAATTATTCTGAAATTTGTTTGTGATTTTTTTCTCCTTCAGATGTAGTTAAGAAAAAGCACATTTAGTGCTTGCAGTGAAAATCATTGATACAACAATTCTTGTGACAAATCCTTTTAATGCTGCCTTATACCAGGGGGAAAAAAAGAAAACAAACTAACCTCGCCCCCCCAAAAAAGTCTGCAGCACAGGTGTAGTGACAGGGGCTTTCCCGTTTCTAAACTGACATGGTGTTTTAGTTCTTTCCAAAACATATTTCTGTCTTTTGAGAGAAGTTCTAGGTTTTTTTTTTTCTCATGGAAACCAAAAGTAAAATAAGACTAAGTGGTTGCTAAGACTGAAAGTGGGATTCAGCTGGTCTTTCATGTAAGATTTATCTTTAGATATTCCTATATACTGAATGCTAAAATCACAAATAAGTATTAGTCATTAATAGATGTTTGTTTCACAGTTTGACTAAATACTGTGACATCTCCTACACTTGCCAAAATTTCTTCTTACAGCAGAGGAAATTTTTCTCCCCTGCTATGGAGTCAAGGGTAACTTCTTGAACTGAACTGCCCTTGGAGAATTGCCCTTGTGTTGTGCTCTTTGCTGTGTAGCATGTGGGCAGTGGGGGGGATGCTTGGCTCAGCTTCTGCTAGACCAGCTCAGCAGCCCTTAGGAATTCGATCCAACAGCTCCATTGTAAAGAACAGTATGAAGTTGGTGCAGTTGCTGCAATGACTAAGGCTTGCACTGCAGCTGCAAATCTCTGCCTCATCCTCCAGAATCCTTCACTCTCTTTAGCAGTGAGCCTCAGCACAGAGCTGGCTCTCAAGCGACAGTTTTTAACATTCCTGCCAGTGGTGATGTCTCACAGAACTGAGCACTACAGATGCAGAATCTGTGTTTGTACAACGCAGGGGAATTTTGCATGTGCTGTTGTCTTATTCTGGCTGCCCTAAGCATTGCCTTTATCAAAAGATTATAATTCCCATTGTGTTCTTCTTATGGAATGCATTTACATTTTTATGCCATTGCCAAGTTTTTTGAATATCTTTGTACTTGAAAGGCATAACATCAAATAGATACAGTACTTGTGAATAAGCCATGATAAAAAAGTATAGTCAAAGTGGTTAGGCTAGGCATTAATTTTGGCAAAGCCTGTTTTAATTATCTTTTTAAAACTAATTTATCCTTCAATCAGGCCTTCAATGACAGTTGACATTTTCTAGTCTAAGCTGTCATTGTACTTCTCCTGATATGTCTCTGACAGTTGCGTGTCTTTCCCATTGTCTTTAAAAACAACTGCTTGCAAGTGGGTTCACTGAGGAACTGACATCTTTGAAAAGTAATGACATCTGCATGTGTGGTCCTCCTGGACTTTCAGGCTTGAAATTAATCTCAGAGAGCTGGACATCTGTAGTAGCACACTGAGGTATTCGCATGAGGAAGATAATAAAATAATTTATTTGTTCTAGCAACTGTTAAAGGTTATTAAGAGGAAAACAGTACTCAGGATGGCAAAAATTTAAAATAAGACTTGGCATTGTTTCATTATTTTTTTTTTTTAAGATTAGAAGAACTGAGTATAAAACGGTAAATGTTATGCTTTATTCAGTATTACTGCAATAATATGATTAATATACATTTATTGTATCTCACAAGCATATT